TTTGAGCATCTCTACTCTCCATGTGCTTTTACATGTTTGCTAACATCCCTCTAATTTCAATCCAGGCAGGGTCAGTAGGTGGGGGAGTTTGTGATTGGGTTTTCTGGCCAGAATTGGGATGGTTATATTTCTCCTGTGGTGGTGGTTTCTGTTGTGGTTGTCGTGGAGGTGGAGGATTTTGTACATTGATGCTCCAGTAATAAAAATTTGGATGGTTTCGGAGGCCACAATTTTTACCAAAGCGTCATTAGTATTATTGACAGCAGAAACGTTAGCTACAGAATTAGGAACAACAGTAAGATTATCTAGTTTTTGGAAAATAGATGATAACTGAGCCTACAAAAAGGATACGGAATCAATATTGTGTTTCCCCTTGTTAGCAAAACCTCTATGATTTTCCATATTGGGAATTGTGAATTGCAATATCTTCGATAACTTGACTTGCATTATCAACATTAAGATTCATAAACCTCCCACTGGCTGCAGAATCCAGAATTGTTCTAGATGAATTCTTAAGCCCATTGTAAAAGGCTTGAATCAACTGCCATTGTGCTAAAATATGGTGAGGACACTCCCTATGCAGATCCTTGAATCTTTCCCAAGCCTCATATAAAGTATCATCTGGCTCTTGGGCAAAATATTAAATTGCACTTCTCAAAGTTGTCCTATCTACAGGGTAATATTTGTTATAAAAAATCAAAGCAAGTGTCTCCTAGTCAGTAATACCAATTGCAGTTCTATTCAAACCATTAAGCCACAATTTTGCTTTTCCGAAAAGGGAAAAAGAATCTCCTTGATTTGGTCTTGGGTAACCCCATCTTGCCTAATGGTGTTACAATACTGATAAAAATCTGCAATATGAAGATTAGGGTCTTCACCCTTAGCTCCACTAAATTGCTTTCTCTCAATCATCGTGATAAATTGGGGCTTAATCTCAAATTGCACTCCATCAAGAGCTAAAGTAGAAGTAAGATGTGGAAAATTCGTTAGGGACGGCTGCAAATAATCGCTGAGCTCGAGAGCTGGAGGAGGTGGTGGTGTCGTCATCTCTAATTCAGGTTCTGAAGAAACTTCCGAATTGCTAGAATCAGATTGGGGTTTTAAAGGTGGATTACCTTCACAAGTGTCTTGTACATGTCTGTAAAGGTTCTTCTGTCTATGAAACGATCGTTCGATTTTAGGATCGAATGGTATGTAACCTATTCTAGAATTCCTAGGCATAAACACATAACTGAACAAACAAATATGAGAAAATTGTCTCAAATAACTTGCGTTCTTTGAGACGAGAGAAAAAAATTTAGACTACAAAAACAATCAGAAATAAAAATAAATCGTTTCCCCTGCAATGGCGCTAAATTTTAATAGGCTAAAGTCGTATCACCTAATCAAAAGTAATACTTAAGTCCTCTAACTAAGTTGATAGGGAAGTAGGGTCGAACCACAGGGAAACAAGTCAATTTATTCTTCATTAATTAATATAATCTAAACTATTAAGTAACTAAAATTATTGTTATGAAAGGGGAATTAAACTACGGAGATTAAAAATAGGGAGAATTCGATAATAAAAAAATCCTAGGGTCACAAGTTCAGCAATAATTAACATTCCGGGATAAAACATGTGATGAGTGTCATTATGGCACTCATTTGATGAGTATTTAGCTTGTTTTTACCTTATTTTCACAGCTTTCTTTCTAAATAAACCCTTAGTTTTATGCATTTTTTCTTTAATTCTCTATTCTATTTTGTTTTGTGTTTTAACGGTTTTTTTAGTGTTTTCTCTTTTATTTGTTCTCTTTTTATTTTATTTTAGTTTATTTTATTTTACTTTCAATTTCATTTCATTTTTGTTTCCTTTATTTATTTTATTTTGATTTCTTTTATTCTTTTCATTTTTATTTTATTCCTTTTAATTTTGTTTGTTAATTTTGAGTTCATTTTACTTCATTTTCTCCTTGCTTTTAATTGTGTTTTGTAGATGGATGTCCCAAGTTCAACTCCTTGCGCTCGTAAAATCGCGCTTTCAAGCCAGGTAGTGTTGAACCCATTGAAGAGGCTCTTAGTTACTGCACACTTTAGTGTTCATCACGAGCATGCTGTGAGGACGATGCTCACCAACCGCTCAACCTCAACCTCAACCTCAACCTCAACCTCAACCTCAAGTCACTTCCCCTGCTCCCCATTTCACGAGCAGCAATCACAACCGCTCCAAGCAGCTGCCACCAATGCAGCGTTATATCAGCCGCACTTCACCACACAACACCAACAACAACTCATGGCAACCTCCGCAACCACCTGTCCGCAACCACTCACGCGCTTCCCTTACTCCCCAATTCATGAACAGCAAACCGAACAGCCACCAATTCACTGCCAGTTCAGCTCCCAATTCCGCCACCAAACGCGCAACCCCTGATCCAAATCAGCTACCAATTTCCTTCAACCACCACATACAAATCATCCACCTATCCACCAATCCGTCACTCCTATCCCGCAACCACCAACCTTACCTTCTACCTCCGCAAACTGCAGATGCAAACCCGCAACAAAACGACCACCTCACGCACCCAAAGCATCCCCTGCTCCAGCCAAACAATTCAACCACGACCGCACTCAAAACCCACGTGAGTTGCCATCAGCCCAATCAACAAAGCTCATTTCGATCCTCATTGATCGCGGCCGCGCATGTCTGGGTTTGAGGAGATGCGAAGCAGGGGATAAAATCCCATTTACAAGAGCTGCCGATTTTGAACTTTTTTTAGTTTTTCGATTCTTTTATGTTTCTTTCTTTTATTTAATCTCCTTTTTATTTTTCCTTTTATTTTCTATTTTCCTTTTACTTTCTTTTACTTTCTTTTTCTTTTCTTTTCTTATTTATTTTATTTTCATTTCCCTTTATTTTATTTTCTTTTCTCTTTTATTTTCTTTTAACCTTATAATTATAAATACCCATTTTGGGGATAGAGAGAGTAAGTAGATTTAAAATTAGAATTCATATTCTTAGCTTAATTGAGAGCTTTCTCTCTAGTTTTAGGGTTATTTTAGGAGTAGATTTTAGAGAGAGAAAGTGAGGAATTTCAATGGTGATTGAGAGATTGAAGATTCAATGGTGAAAATTGTATTTAAGATATTCTCTATTATCAATGAACATTTCTAACTCTATCTCATTTCATTGCTTTGTTTAATATTCAAGTTTGTTTGGATTGATTTTGATGTTTGATGCTTGATTAGTGTAGCTGATGATGGTTCTAGAGTAGTTGTTTGGGAAGGAATTGGGTGAAACTTGTGTGATTGATTGATTGTGATTAATTTGGGAATTGTGTTGATTGATTGTTGATATTAAAGTGATTAATAGAAATTGTGCATGTGTGCAATTCGATTAGGCCTTGAGAATTATGCTAAATTGCATTGTAATTTCTAATGACACGATCAATTGATTTAGGAATTGAAATTATCTATTGGTTTGGATTGTGATTCCCTTAGTTTGTTATTCATAGAGACATCTAGCTTAACGATTACGAGACGGCTATTTGATTCCAATTGGTTGCTCTTATCATTAGTCTTCATAACCATTGATTGGCATGTTTTTCCCAAGTTGTTGCAATTGTCATGATTACTTGTTGATACCCGTTCCTAGTGTTTTATTTCCTTGGTAATTTGTTTTGTTAGTTGTTAGTTTTACCTTTACCTTCGACTTCGACCTAGCTTAGGCGCCCAAATCGAAAGCGTTTGAACATTACCGTTCCTTTGGGTTCGACCCTTGACTTGCCTCTATACTAGTATTTAGGATGATTAAGTGTTTATAAATTTAGTTTGACCGAGGGAGGATTAGTTTCAACGACCTAGTTCACCCCTCGTCAAAATGACGCTATTGCCGGGGAACGGTGTCTATGTTTGAGTTTTTTTTTATTGGTTGAGTATAGGTCCTTGTATATACTTTTGTTTATTTAATTATTGTTTGTTTTGTGAAAAAAAGGCATGTTTATCATTTCCTCAATATGTCAATGAGCCTTTTTGTATTTCAATAGACTTGAGGGATTTTTAGACTATAATTGTTGTAGTATTTGGGAGGCTTGTGAGATTTGTTATTTTTGTTTGAATGAGCAAACTAGGAATGAAGTTGAATGCATGCATAATGGTGAATTTAGAGCGTTGTCAATTGATGATGCTTGGAATTCTATGTTTGGTTTGCTAGGGATATCTACAATAGGGGTAATCATGTTTCTAATATTGTTGTGCATTGTCTTAATTCTTCTAATGTTAGCATGAATTCCCATGATTTGTCACATGATCCCATAAGTGAACCTAGAACAAATGCTTTCGATTCTATTTCCCCTTTTGTTCATGATAATGAGGTGCATGCTCAAGTTGATGCTAATGGTGTGTTTCAATTTCTTCATTATTTACCATGCCTTCTTGTGATGTAGTTCATTCCCTTAATTACGAACCTCATATGCTTGATTGTGCCTCCTCTCCCCTATTTAATTAAAATGCTCATGATTTTAATGTTCATGATCCTACCCTTGGTTGTGCCTTTTCTTTTACTATTGATCAACCCTCTTTGCCTTTTCATTCTCCAAACTCTTGTGATGAGTCTCTAATCCCCTATAGCCAAATTGAGTAATCTTTGAGGGAGTTAGAGATGAATCCTAATCTTAGGCCCTTGGAGAGACAAATGATGGAAACTTTAACACTAGTGGGAAAAAGGACATCCATAACGGGTAAAAACAGTCTATCTATAACGGGCAGTGGGCGTTACGCATACTGCCGTTACGGATAGACAATGTTATTCATAACGGACAGTGTCCGTTACAAATAAGTAGTTATTTGTAACGGTCATTTATTTTGCCCGTTACGAATAACGAGTTATTCGTAACGGGCATTATATATGCTCGTTACGAATAGTGTTTGATGCAATTAAAAAAAATCCATCACATGCTGGATCATTTTATCAAATAATGAGATACATTTTTTTACAAAGTATAATACACATTAAATATGAAGTATACAATAAGAAATAATACGTTCATTATCACTTCATAATATATCAAATTGCCCATATAATGTCGCATGTTTACATCTTAAGATTAAGACTAATATAAGATTTAAATGATGATAAAAGCGCAAAAACAAATTATAATTGTAATAATAAAAAAACAAGTTTTGTCTAAATTAGTATTGAATAATTTAAATCTTCCACAAATTTTCAGAGTTGCTGGAATGTATCCTGTTGAAACTCGTCAATGTCTGAAAATCCCAACATTTTGTGGTCTGATACGTTGATTCTTAAGCTCCCTTGTGTAGATATTATATGCTCCACCTTCAATAATTTCAACAAAACATAATTAACATAATTGAAAAGAAAATGATAATATCAAAATTAAAACTCAGTAGAAAAGAAAGTGAAATTGACATACCTTGCAAGAGAGGCAGCAGAAAAGGAAAGGTTCTTGTAAGGAGCGATTGAAGGTAAACCGATAATTCCTAGAACTTGGGCTTTTGTTAAATCGAGATTTGGCCTTTGTTGGTTATATATCCCTTTTTATCATAATACAATCATAACACCAAACATGCATAATTCCTCAAAATTCAAAAGAACAAGTATAGATTTACAAATTGTGAACGAGAAAATCCACACACAAAATGAAAGAACAACACCACCACCGTACCGTACACTTACCATCACCACCGCCGTACTCATGAAATCATCCATCTGACCACCACCTCCGTACACTTACCATCACCACCACCGTACACTTCCAACAACCATCCGACCACCACGAACCCAGATTTACACCCACGAACCCAGAAAACTGTTCGAAACCATCCACAAAATCTAACTCGCAAACCCATGAAACCACCCCAACGCTCTTCAAATACTATTCTGACCCATCGACACCCACTCTAAAAATCCCTAGAATGTCAGATCCGGCCATCCGTCCATGAACACCACCCTCACAAACCCACAAAACCCATTAAATCCCCCACAAAACTAATTTGAGAGTAAAGCAATGAAAATTGTGGATTTAAAACAGAAAATTGTGAAAAGAGTACCTTGGTATTGTATGTGGAAGGAGAAATAATGGGCATGGAACCGGTTTATTACCGTCGAGATGAGAGAAGTAGGATTGAGTGAACAAGAAAGAGAGAGAGAGAGAGAGATAGTAAGAGAGAGAATGAGTGGAAATGATAGAGGAGAAAGGATAAAGAGGGGTGAGGGCAAGGTTGACAGCTGGAGAGTGAAACCCTAATAGCAATAAATAATGGGCTATGGGTTCCTTTCCCAACTGTTGGACTAATTTATTCGTAACAGGCACAATATTCCTGTTACAAATAATATAGTATTCGTAACATGCACAATATGCCTGTTACGAATAATATAGTATTCGTAACGGGCAATATTTTGTCCGTTACGAATGTTATATATTTGTAACGGGCAGTATCTTGCCCGTTACGAATGTTATATATTTGTAACGGACTCCTATTTTGACCTTTACAGATGTATTTTATGTAACGGGCATAACTTTGCCCGTTACATGTTACAAATGACAATTTTTCCACTAGTGTAAGGAGCCTATTGGAGATGATTAGAGAGCATGAGGATCTTTTTAACGAAGAATTGAAAAGAAAAGAAGAGTTAGAAAATGAATTGTCATCTTTGATGCTTGTTTGTGAAAAATCCTTATCCAATGTGTATGTTGAGGATGATGATGATGATTTTGAGCAACCAAGAGAGGGTGAGGATTCATTTGGTGAGCATTTGAGTGATGGTGAAGGATTTGAGAATGAAGAGAGTGTTAATTTTGAAAACCCCAATCCTCTTTCTAATCTTGATGAGTCTCTTATGCATGATTGTGATTCTTCTATCCATGAGTACTTGGACTCGTTAGATGTTATGTCCTATAAGTTCTTTGAGAATCAAAAGAAAACCCATAACCTTTTGAATGAGTTCATTGAGGATGCTTCATGGGAGAGAGATAATTTTGAAATGAATTTGCATCCATTCATGCATGGTTTTGAGACTTTAGGCTTTAAGGATGTTGAGGGAATTATTGTTAATTGTCTTGATGAAGGGGATTATGTAAGTTCCTCTTGGAAGTGGGATGTTTAATGGAGATGGAGATCATGAGTGTTCTTATTTTGAGGATTCTATGATTGATTTCCATGCTCTTATTGGTGATTTGAGGCATGGTGGTGAGGAAGAGTTCATTTGTGTGACCATAGCCCCCATTCCCTTTTCTCATGTCCCTTTTTCAAGGAGATATGACCATATCCCTTACATTTCTATGTGTAGGGAATATTTCAAGCATTACCCCAAACTTAAACCCCACTATGATCATAACTAAAGCATGGTGGCGTCCAAAGAAAAGGAAGCTAGAGCAAAAGAGTCGCCAACAAGTTTTAGGAACTTGTAAACCGTTCACGAGGTGAAGATTACACCCCTTAACGATCCAGGAGATCGTCAACTCCAATAGGTCTGGAACCATGACTAGTAGTTCGGGGATGAAGGTTCAAATCCAACCTAAAAGAGATTGAACCTGCCCTAATAATAGGCCTCTACTTTATTCTGATTGTATTCATGTGCGCTTTCTGACTAACATGCAATCAATAGGATTAACCCTGAACCTGTTTATCTATGTTGGTTGAATATTAATGCACAAATAAACTATTATTGACGATCACTTGAATTATAGTCATATTGACCCTAAACAAGATTATTAATTATCTTATTAAGCGTGATTACAAAAACAAATTCCCTTTAAACATGCATAAAAGGTCTGATCAAACAATAACAATAAATATCAAGTAACAAAATAATAATCATCATCATAATAATAATGTTAAAGCATAATAATAGCAAGATCCTAGGCATGATACTAATAAGATTATTAACTAACCCTAGCATGTCACTAAACAATAAAAATTAAAGTTTTAACCCTAACATGATACTAACAATCATAAATATTAGGAAGAACATAAAAGGCATCATACTTTTAAACATACGTACTTGATATTAAAGTTACCCTAGACATGATACTAGGAAGATCAAAACTCCCTAACATAACATTAGGAATCATAATAACAACCTAAGCATGATTTCTATATCATAATAACAATGTAAATAATTAAAGCACTGACTTGGATTCCTCGTACCTCTTTCTAATAACAAAATACACACGTTAGTAACTTCAAGGAAAATATAAAATTAAACAATTAAAATAATTGAAAGAGAGATTTGGGACCAAACCCTCAGAAATTAAAACCTTTCACGTCTAGGGCGAAGGCAACTTTGAATTATTCTAGGTGTTTCTAGTGCTAATGTATGAGGAATTGTGTTTGTAAAAGGCTAGGCTTAGAAAGAGAGAGAGAATCAAGAAATTCTTGATGAGAGTTGGTGAGAAAAAAGAATTAGAAAGAATAAGAATTGATGGAAATTGATGAGAAGAATTGATGAGAATTGATGATTGAAAAGGGGAGATATGACCTCTATTTATAGAGAAAAAAGAGAGTCGAAGAATAAGAAAAGAATCCGAATTCGAATTGAAATACAACTCGATGAACATCAGTTTTTGCGGATTTTGTTTTTATCATATCTTTTGATCTAGAAGTCCAAATAAAACATATAATATGTCGTTGGAAAGCTCTTGACGTCTAATTTCCAACCCAATTAGAATCAGATTAATATTGTTTTTAGATAAAAAAAAAAGTTGTGGCCGAAATAGTAGGATGGTGTTAGTTTTGGATAGAGTTTCATATCTCATTCATATCTTTTTCATTATAACTCGGATTTAATATTATAATATATCATTGGAAAGATAATTTCAAGATCTATCCAACCATATAAAATTTGGATAAAGATTATGAGGCACGAAAATAATATCTGACTTTCTTTGAACATCTTTAAATTCGAATAGAATTAGGATTTAAGAAAAAAGAAAGTTTTAAAAAAGGAAAGTTTTTATTTAACTCAAATTCTTTAATCTTATCTTTTCAAAAAGGATAATTAAGATCTTTTAGAAACTTATAGAAGCTTCTAATTAATCCTAATTATTTTAGGAATAGTATTAGACCTTTGGACCCTCCACATGATCATTGGGCCGTAGGTAAGATCCGGTTAGAGCCCAGTTTAGTATTTTGGCCATAACTTCCTCATTATTCATCGGAATTGGGCTAATAATATATCGTTGGAAAGGTCTTTTCAAGCCCCATCCAAATACACCATTATTGGACCCATATCATGGACCAAACTAAATTGTAATGCACATTTTTCAAAAATAGGGTAAGAAAAGAAATATTTTAAAAAACAGAAAGAAGAGATATTTTAATAAAAACATCCTCATCACTAGAATTTTCACACTTTCTCTTTATTCGATAATCAAATGACATGAAAGGTATTCATCACTAGGTTTTTTTTTTGGGGAGACACATTTGGGTGTCTACACTATGTCCCTCCCTTCTTTTGTCAATAAGCCTATTGGGGACCCTCTTGTCTATGTAATTTTCATGTCCCTCATTTGTCTTCTATTGAGGAAAAGGGTGATTATGCCATCCAAAATCATTTTGAGGAGAGTTTTCCTTATTCTTCTTTTTCTTTTTCTTCTTCCTCTTCTTCTTCTTCTTATTTTGTTGAATTTGCTTTTGATTTTTCTTCCTTTTCTTGGCATCTCTCTCCTCATGGGTGTGCACTAAGCTTGTTACACATCCTCTTCCCGTCATTTTCCTACCTTCTATCTTATAGGAAATATGTATTAGTGCATTTGACAAGATCTTGCGTGCGTTGAATTATTAATTTCTAGAGCAATCGAGCTTGGACCTTAAGTAAGCGTCTCTCGGGTAGTAACCCGTGTTTTATTGCTTCCATTTTCTTTTCTTTTTATAATAGATATTTTGTCATGGAAATGTTTGTGTACCTTTTGCTAGGTACATGACTTTATATACTTTGGTGCATTGGTTTGAATCAAGAATCAAGGAATATTGCCTTCTATTTTGCTAGCATATGGAAAGCAAGACTCAATTCTAGATGAACTTGGCTTTGAAAGGTTAAATTGGGTCATTTGCGGGTATTTACACCCACCTAAATTCGGTAATATCTTTCCTTCATCTTTCTCTAATGGTTGATGATTTGTTGGACATGTGTTGGTATTGTTGGTTTGATTTCTTTCCTTTCCCCTCCCATAGATTATTTGATTTTTAAAAGAATGGTATCCTTTGAACAAGTGTATTATTCCAATAGAGGGTTTGGAATTATTAGAAAGCTAATTATTCAGTGAAGTCAAGTGATCAGAATGCCTGGGTGGAGGCCGCTTTCGATTAGTGATATTAATGTATAATTAATATTACAGCTTAATCTTGACTGAACCCTTCATGTCACACCCAAGCAACTAACGAGCCGAAGCGACAAATTAATTCGGAAGTAATTAATGAGTCGACCGATTAATTAATATTTAGACGTTGTCAAAACCGAGCATCGGAAGCTGAGTCGAAAATAGTAAAAGATAAGGCGTGAAAATACTAATTAAATAACAATAACCAAAATAACCCTAGCAACAGAATACCGAGTGCTAGGGGCATAGCCGAGCTAGCAGCCTGCACCAAGTGCAGGGCTTGCTAGCACGCTGCAGCCAGCAGCCCGTACCTAGTGCGTGGCGTGCTAGCATGCTGCAGCTAGCATACCGCACTAGGTGCGTGACATGCTAGCAGCAAGCCTCAGCAGCAGCAGCCCTCACACAAGTGCAAGGGCCTACTGGCGGAGGAAGCTAGCAGCAGCCCGCACATATTGGTGCGAGACCTGCTAGGCCGAGGCATGGACAACAGCACATGGCAGCCCACCTTGGTTGCCTTGGTGCCCAAGTCTGGGTGCCACGTGGCGCGAAATAATTGGGAGTTGGGGTGTGAGTTGGCCGGTTTTGAGAGAGGGAGTGGGGAGCAAGTTTGGTCCCCCCCCTCCAAATAGTCCTTACCTACTCTCTCATGTGAGCTTGCCACTTGTTGATTTATTACTTGTTTGATTATTAAATTTATTTTAGCTTTAAAATAAAATGGGAAAATCAAATTGTCCCACATTGATGCGAGAGTTTTTCACACTCATTCTCTTCCATATATATACCCAACTTGGGTTATTGGGAAAAGCACTTGAGTAAGTGTTGAAAAAGGCATCACCATTGTGAAAACCTTTGAACACATTTATTACTCGTGTTTTGTTCAGGCCTTGCGAACTCCAAGGCATTAGACCCTT